AGTCAAACATGAAATGTTCCAATGTTTCCAACATGTAAAATTATTCATTCTGGGACAGGCCACACAGTGATGTGACTCAAATGCCATAGAAAATAGGTACAAATAATTAATTGCTTTGGTTTCCCACAACAAATAACAACAAAAAATGAACCATTCATTGTTTCTAAACAAAGTGAGTGGGGAATTTGGCCTACAACTAGATATTTAAAGAAAGTCTCTAAAACAGTGGTCTTTAAGTAAAAAAGATTAATATTATCAAGTGACAATTTAGGAAAGTTCCCATCTAGTTTTCTGGTAACTGACATTGGATAAAAATACCAAGGGAAATTCAGTTTTGAGTTATAATATGTGTGAGTTTGTGAGGTAGAACCAGTTTGGGACCCCCAAAAATAGATGCACTTTTTTTGCTCATTCATAGAACAGATTATCACTCCAGATACAAAACTCATCACTCTACTTGTTGGTTTCTGATGCTCTACTCTGTTAGTGAAGCACAGTGGGCCTTCAGGTCAGTCTGAGGAAGCTACAATCATTTTGAAAATTAATTCTGCAATAGCTATTAAAATGTATAACTACACATACTCTTCATCCCATCAGTCCTCCTTTAATGAAACTATCAGACAGGCATAAAGACATCAGGACATATAAATATATGAAACGAGGTGTTTATTGAAGCATAATCTTAATGGTAATAATCCAGTAATGACCTGGATGTTCATAACAGAGAAATGGATGAATAGACTAGATTATTATATGACATGTTATGAAAACTTATATATTTATTTAAAAAAATGACCACAACAACTTTATTGAAGAAGAGGGATACCCTGCTATATTTTCAAATATTAAAAACACAAAAGATTATCATCCCCAAATATGTAATCTGTTTGCACCATTTGTTAAATTTAAATGGACTTCAGTTGGGCAGTGATCAAATAGCACATGGCTTCTCAACACAGTCACGCTGTGTGTAAAAACACTTTTCTTCTCCATAATTTCACCAAAGCCCTTTTCATCTCACTATTTCTCAAGCTGTAGATAAGTGGATTCAACAGAGGAGTAAGCAAAGTGTAAGCTAATGACATCAGTTTCTTGGTTTCTGGTGAGTAGCCAGATTTGGGTTGCAAATAAGTCATGTTGGCTGTGCCATAGAACAGGGTCACAGATGTGAGATGAGAGGCACAGGTGGAAAAGGCCTTTTGCCTCCCAGTGGTTGATGGCATCTTCAGGATGGCATAAAGAATCTGAATGTAAGACAAGAGGATCAACAAGAAAGGTACCATAACAATCAAAATGGTGCCTGTGAAGGCATAGATTTCAAACAAGAAGGTGTCTGCACATGCAAGCTCCAGCACTGGGGGAGTCTCACAAAAGAGATGATTAATTTCATTGGGGCCACAAAAGGGAAAACTGAATACCCATGTGGTCTGCACAGTAGCCACCATGATCCCTGACACCCAGGAGAACATTACTAATTTCATAAAAACTATTTTGTTCATAGTCATAGGGTAGTTCAGAGGATGACAAATTGCAGCAAATCGGTCATAAGCCATTGCCCCCAGGAGAAAACATTCAGTCCCACCAAAAAGAAGAATGAAATACATCTGTGCAAAACAGCTCACAAAAGAAATCCTAGTTTTCTCAGTGCAGAGAACCACCAGCATTTCAGGAATGATGACTGTACTGAAACTCAAGTCCACCACAGATAAGTTCAGGAGGAACAGGTACATGGGAACGTGGAGGGTCTTGTCCAGGGAGATGATGACTATAATGATGGCATTTCCCATCAGGGTCACCAGGTAAATCACCAAGAAAACCCCAAAGAGCTGCTCCTGGAGTTCAGGAAAGTTAGAAAACCCCAAAAGGATGAATTCAACCACAGAGCTTTGATTTTGCCTTTTCATTTTAGTAGTTGAGCTTCATATTGTGTTTACCAACATAGACTGTAAAGTATGAAATCACAGTATTATAGCTGTGAGTTCAAGTCTGGAATTCTTGACAGAAGATGTGATGAAGTTCGCTCATTTTGACCGAACTTCAAGTTGGCAATTTTGAAGAGTGGTCAATAACTTGTAATAGTGAATCTTTAAAATATGAAAAAGAAATGAAGAATTTTGCCTCAAAAATCTTGTTCTAAAAGTACAAAGTAATAGTAGATGTGGTCTAGCAACTTTTTTGCTATATAGGTTGAAACTTAAACCTATTTTAAAAACACACAAAAATATATTATTTGGAATCCAATGTCCATTATATTGATTTATTCAATTCTGTGTTTATTTTAATTCTATATTTATAAATGAGTTTTAAAATAAATAGTACCAAATGAGACAAATACCAAAAATATGCAGGAAAATTTAAAACTAATAATTAAATCTTAAAGCACATTTTGATGAATATATATTATAAGTTCCAAGTTCAAAATGCATTATATTACTTTGTTAAAGAAGAAAAATTCAAATAATACATCTAAAGGGATACAGAAACAATCAAAAGGAATTGAACTTCAGCTGCACTTATCTTAGATAAACATAAGTAAATTGGATTTCAAATATATTGATTGCTGGCCTGCCTGGACCTGACTAATCACATTAACATTTGCATCCATGGGAAATTTTAGAGGTTAGTTCTCCATGGCCCATCCTGGTGACCATAACATGGTTTTCAGGGCTGTAGAAAATACCATTTAGGGTCATTTTGATCCATGGTTTAAAGTTTAAACCATCTCTCTCTCTCTCTCTCTCTCTCTCTCTCTTTCTGTATACACACACACACACACACACACACACACACACACACGGAAGTTCGTTAACTCTTTACCCACTCAACAAATGCTGTTTGAGCACCTACCACATCCCTAGCTTTTCTAAGAATTTAGGGTCCTTTGTCAGGCTGGAAATACCACTGGATTGGGAGCTAGACTGGAACTGGAGCTGTGCTACTACCTTCAAGGTGAGTCTCTGCCTCTCCCTGCACTCAGGTTGGGAGCAAGAAAATAACCCTAGATATCCCTTATGGCTTGGGCAAATGTGTGTATCCAATTTGTTGACAGAAATCTAGAGGCTGCAGGCCTCTGCTCCATTCACATGGGGGCTGCTGAAGGGAAGTGGAATCTCTGTGGGTGGGCATTTGGAGGCACATGGGCTGTCGGAGTCACTTTGAGCCAAACTGTCCCATGCAGAGCTGGCCATTTTCTTCCCAGTCCATCTGTTCTTCCAAAGCCCCTCTCTGGGCGAAGCACTCAGTTCTCCCCACTATCCCCCAGAGCAGGAGTTCTCAAACTTTTTAAACAGGGGGCCAGTTCACTGACCCTCAGACCATTGGAGAGTGCGCACTGTGGGCCTGGGACAAGTCGGCTGCTAAGCAGGACAGGCAGTGGTGGCAAAAACACCCAGAGGGCCAGATAAATGTGCTAGGTGGCCCGCGTGTGGCCTGCTGGTGGTAGTTTGAGGACACCTGCCCCAGAGCAACTCCCCTGACCCAGTATTCTATTCACTGTCAGAGCCTACATGTCTTCAAAATCTGGAATCCCTCTGGCCTCAACAAACCCATCTCCACTGACACTGCCCCTTTTCTCCCCTTCAGCTCCCCATCGTTAAATGGAACCATAACTGGTTTCTCCACATTTTATACCTTCTCCTCCATCTGTACCTCAAACCCCTGTCAAAATAGTATCATCCTCTCTCCCAGAACCTTCAAGGTCTCCCCTTATCAGTAGAATATAATACCTGCCTCTCAGGCTGGGATTTAAGGAGAAACATAGTGGTAACAATCGCTTTAGAAATTTAAGTGAGGACAAGATTACTTCGTAATGGAAAGTGAGGGTGAAAATCCATAATCACAGGAAGTCATGGTGGGTTGTTAGGCAGAAGGAGAACAGCATAAGGAAGAAGGCTGCCTTGCTCAAGGCCAAAGTATTCGATGACATCTTGGTAGTAGAGTAGAGGCCTACTGGCATTTGAAAACCAGCAGAATTTCACTGCGGGACATGAGGAAGCAAGGGGACAAAAGGCTACAGCAAGCTGAAGACTTGGAATGTCATGAGTTCAGATCATTAGGACCTCAGCTGAGAGTAAAAGGCAAGTTGGTTTACTAAGTATGTTCACAGTGATATATTAAAAGCAAATGTCTGTATTAAGTAAAATAATGTATTTTGGATGTCAAAAAATCTACTAAAATTAAATAATGGACTTAGCAGGAATAAACCATTTAAGTATCATTTCTAATAGACAAAACTACATACTCAGCTCCAAACTTATAAAACCAAATAAGTTTGTAAAATGGAAAAATTTGAGTATCTTATTGAAAGTAGACAAATTATAGGGAGCTGATAAAGCAAATTGTTGAACAAATCTAAATGACTGCTTTCATGAGTCATTTTTAGAAACTGAACTCATATGCTCCATCTTTTGCCTTTAACATATTGTCCAAACTAATGCTGACTTGGCTTGTTCACTGGCATTTTCTACTAGTTCCAGCATGAACTTTCTGTCTGACCTTGAGCAAATAACTCCTTTCTCTGGATTTTATCTTTCTGCATGATTGGCCCTAACTCCTGTCCCCTCAACTACATAACTCTACCAATCAATGATTTGTGCAAGCAAAGTAATTAAAGATCTAATTATTGCCCAAACTTTTAAGCAAATATGAAAAGCATAGCAATTGACTTTCTTACCTGAGCACTGGCTTATCACTTGATAAGTACCTCCAATAATCAGTGAGAAGAACTATGGATGGTAGCCCAAGTGCCAAAGCAGAATCTGCAGTTCTTTATCTAGTGAATGTCCCTAATTCTCACCCTTAATCAAATATTTCACCTGTTTAGTTAAAAAATACTCCCATAAATACAACTTAGTGATTCAATGCATTGATTTTATATTGCTAATACTGTACAGCATTGAATTCTATGCCCTGAGAGAAACCTTCTCTGGAGAACTGACACTCAATTTATACAGACTCTCCTGTATGGAGAAAAGGAACCTCAGCTACACAGACTAGAAGCATCACTCCTCCAGGTTTCCACAGGGAATACACACCTCTTCACACAGGAGACTCAATTCCACCATGACCTCGCCCACTGAGACACGAAAGCAGAGACTGAATGAATGTTGGTAAACAGGCACAGTGGAGCAGGGAGGACGGGATGTGGGTGTGAGTGAAGACTTCCTGGAAGCTTACATAGAAGAATATTTTATAGTCTTGGAATGGGAAACGGTTCTTAAACAGGAAATAAAATCACTAATCATAAAAGAAAAAATGAATAAATTAAGGACTCCTTTATCAAAAGACCTCAAGAGACTGAAAAAATGAGCCAAAAAATGAGAGGAGATATGTATAATACATAACTGATTAGTATTAAAGGACCTGATACCCAGAATATTTTTTAATATCCTATATATCAGTGAAGAAAAGTTAACCACTTTTTTATTAACTAAAAGCCACACTTTATTGAGATTTCCTTAGAGTTTTTTTTAGAGCAATGTTAGGTTTAGAAAAAAATTTAACTGAGTTCCCACCTATAGTCAATAATACTGTATTATATACTTTAAAATTTTTTTTAAAGGTGCAGGATGCAGTGGCTCACACCCGTAATCCCAGTGCTTCCAGATGCTTAGGTAGGAGGGCCAGGAGTTTGAGGCCAGCCTGGGCATCATAGTGAGACCCCCCCCATCTCTACAGAAAATTTAAAAATTAGCCAGATGTGGTGGTGCACACCTGTAGTCCCAGCTACTTGGGAGGCCAAGGCTGTGGGCTCACTTGTGCTCAGGAGTTCAAAGCTGCAGTGAACTATGATTGCGCATTCCCACCTGAGTGACAGAGGAGATCCTGTCTCTAAAAAAAAAAATTTCACAAAAAACCTCTCATGTTAAGTGTTATTATCACATAAAAGAATAACAGGACACAAGAGAACTTTAGGAAGTTCTGGTTATGTTTAATTACCTTGATCGTGGTGATGGTTTCACAGATGTATGCATATGGCTAAATTCATCATTGTGTACATTAAACGCGTGCAGTTTATTGTACAGCAATTATACCTCAAGAAAGCTTATTTTTAAAAAACTACAGAAAATTTCCATATATCCTCTCCACAATCACCACCCCTACACAAGATTTCCCTTATTATGAACATATTGCATTAGCACAGTACATTTGTTATAATTGATGAACCAATACACTATTATTAACTACAGGCCACAGTTTACATTACAGTTCACTCTTTGTATTGCTCAGTTCTATGGGTTTTGAAAAATGCATAATGTCATGTATCCATCATTATAGTATCATACAAAATAGTGTTGCTGCCATAGAAGTGCCTGTGCTTCCACCCAGTCATTTGTCCCCCACTCTCCCTGAACCCCTGGCAACCACTGACCTTTGTACTGTCTCCGTGGTTTCAACTTTCCAGAATGTCATATATTTGGAAACATATAGTAGGTAGCCTTTTCAGACGGGCTTCTTTCACTTAGTAATTGCATGTAAGATTCCTTCAAATCTTTTCATGCCTCAATAGCTCATTTCTTTTATCTTCCTCTGAGTCTGCCTGCTAGAGAATCATTTTTTTAATCACTGAGTAATATTTCATTGTATTAATGTACAACAGTTTGTCCACTCACCTATTCAAGGACATCTTAGATACTTCCAACTTGGGGGTGATTATGAATAAAACTGCTATAGATATTCATATGCAGGATTTTGTGGGGACACATTTCCAAATCGCTTGAGTAAATATCTATGAGCGTGATTGCTGGATCTTACACATGGTACAACTATGTTTATCTTTGTAAGAAGCTGCCAAACTCTCTTTTAAAGTGGCTGTACAATTTTGCATTCTGACCGATGGTAAATTAGAGTTCCCATCACTCCACATCTTCATCAGCATTTAGTATTGTCAGTGTTTGGGATTTTAGCCATTCTATTAATGGTGTCATAATATCTTCTCATGATTTTAATCTGTAATTCTCTAATAACATATGAAGTTTAGCATATTTGCAAATGTTTGTTTGCCATCTGTATATCTTCTTTAGTGAGATGCCTATGCAGATCTTTCACCCACTTTTTTTTTAATTTTTTAATTTCTTTTTTTAAATTATTTTTTTCTCTCTTTTTAGCCTGCTATTATCCTTCTATGTTGAGGGCTTTTCCCACTTGTTAATTGTTTTTATGCTTATTGAGTTTTGTTTTGTTTTTGAGACAGGGTCTCACTCTGTTACCCTGGCTAGAGTACCGTGGTGTCATCATAGCTCACTGCAATCTCAAACTCCTGGGCTTAAACAATCCTCCTCTTCACCCTCCCAAGTAAATGTGACTAGAGGCACATACCCATATGTCCTGCTAATTTTTCTGCTTTTTGTAGAGATGAGATCTCACTCTTGCTCAGGCTGGTCTCGAACTCCTGACTTCTAGCAATCCTTCTCCTTCAGCCTCCCAGAGTACTAGGATTATAGGCATAAACCACCATGCTCATTATTATTGAGTTTTGAGACATATTTGTATATTTTTTGATACAAGTATTTTATCAAATATGTGTTCTCAAATATTTTCTCTTGATCTGTGGATGTCCAGTCATGTCAGCACCATTTGTTGAAATGACTATGCTTTATCCATTAAATTGTCTTTGTTATTTTGTCTAAGATCAGTTGACTATATTTCTGTAGGTTTATTTCTGGCTCTGTCTTCTCCTCTGTTGATTTGTGTACTATTTCACCAATTCCACACTATTGATTACTGTGGCTTTCTAGTAAGTCTTGAAATTAGGTAGTGTCAGTCCTCCAATTATGTTCGTCTTTAATATATTATTGCCTATCCTGGGTCTTTTGCATTTCCATATAAACTTTAAAATCAGTTTATCCATGTCCACAAAGTAACTTGCTGGGACCTTGGTTTGGATTGCATTAAATCTATAGATCATGGTGGGGAAAGCTAACATCCTAACAATATTGAGCCTTCCTATCCATAAACACAGGATATCTCTCCATTCATTTAGAGCTTCTTTGACTTCTTTCATCAGAGTTTTGTACTTTTCCTAATAGGGATATTATACATATTTCATTAGATTTATACCTAGGTATTTCATTTTTTGGTGCTAAGGTAAATGGCTTAAATTTCAAATTTTAATTGTTCATTGCTGACGTATAAGAAAGCAATAGACTTAGCCTTGTATACTTCAACCTTACTATAATTACTTATTAATTCCAGAAGGTTGTTAAAATTATTTATTTGGGATTTTATGTTTTTTGTTTTTTTTTTTTTTTGAGACAGAGTCTCGCTTTGTTGCCCAGGCTAGAGTGAGTGCCGTGGCGTCCTAGCTCACAGCAACCTCAAACTCCTGGGCTTGAGTGATCCTTCTGCCTCAGCCTCCCGGGTAGCTGGGACTACAGGCATGCGCCACCATGCCCGGCTAATTTTTTATATATATATCAGTTGGCCAATTAATTTCTTTCTATTTATAGTAGAGACGGGGTCTCGCTCTTGCTCAGGCTGGTTTTGAACTCCTGACCTTGAGCAATCCGCCCGCCTCGGCCTCCCAAGAGCTAGGATTACAGGCGTGAGCCACAGCGCCCGGCCTTGGGATTTTATATATAAACAATCATGTCATTTGTGAACAAAGGTAGCTTCATTTTTTTTTCATTCCAATCAGTATTCCTTTTATTCCTTTTCGTCTCTCATTGTATTGCTAGAATGTCCAGTACAATGTTGAATAGGAATGGTAACAGAGGACATCCTTCCCTTATTCCTGATTTTATGGAGAAAGCATCTAGTTTCTCATAATTAAGTATGATTTTAGCCATAGTGCTTTTATAGATGTTCTTTATCAAACTGAGGAAATTCCCCTTATTCCTAGCTCGTTGAGAGTTTTTATCATGAATCAATGTTAGACTTTGTCAAATGCTTTTTCTTCATCTATTGATATGATTATATGATTTTTCTTCTTTGTCTGTTGATGTGATAAATTACATTAATTGATCTCCAAATATTGAATTAGCCTTGTATACCTGAAATAATCCCACAATTAGAGATCATTACACACCCACCGAATAGCTAAAGTCAGAAAGATTGACAATACCAGTGTTGGCAAGGATTTGGAATAATGTGAACTCTTATACACTGCTTATTAGAGTAGATTCATACAACTACTTTGAACAATTGCTCACCTTTATTTGCCAAAGTTGAAGATATACCTTTTGACCCAGAATTTACAGTTCTAGATCTATTCGACACAAATGAGCATAAGTGTACAGAAAAAGATGTTCAAAATGATCATTGCAACAAGGCCAGGCACAGTGGCTCATGCCTAGCACTCTGAGAGGCCAAGGCAGGAGGATCACTTAAGCTCAAGAGTTCGAGACCAGCCTGAGCAACAGCAGGACCCCGTCTCTACTAAAAATAGAAAAAAATTAGCTGGGCCACTAAAAATAGAAACGAAAAATTAGCCAGGCATGGTGGCTCACACTTGTAGTCCCAGCTACTCAGGAGGCTGAGGCAGAAGGATCGCTTGAGCCCAGGAGTTTGAGGTTGCCGTAAAGTAGGCTGAGGCCGTGGCACTCTAGCCTGGGTAACAAAGTGAGACTCTGTCTCAAAAGCAAAAATGATCATGGCAACATTATTGGTAACATATAAAACTGGGTCCTGAGGGAAAGAAGCCAAGACAAAAATAGAACATTTATGTAGGTTTTTAGAAGGGGACAAAACTGACCTATATGTGTATGTAAATACCTGCACACAAGCTAGCACTTCTTTATTTTCAAGAGTTCTAAAATGTCTTAGCTTTTATTACTGTCACTGTTTCTGCTATTCTAGTAGTAGTAATAGTAGTAGTACTAGTAGTTTTAAGCCATATTACTCTTCCTAAATTATAAATATTACTCTTCTCATTTTATAAATTTTTTAGAATCAAAGCTTGGAATGGCTAAGCAACTTGGCAAAGACATATAGCTAGCTCTCCCACCTGTTTTACATGCTGTCTGGCTTTCCCCATCCTCCTGTCCCTCCATCTCCCCACTCATCTGACACTCCAGCGCTGGTGTCCCTGTTTCTCTGCTGCCCATGCTACTGCTCGCAACTTCCTCATTTGGTTCTTCTGCCCCACTACCTTTTCCACGAGAAACCTCCTTTTGTGTTCCCCCAAGAGGACATTTTGGCTCTTCTTTCTGTCTATTACTCAAGCTGGTTTTGACAGAAAATGACTTGCTGCTACGGGAGTTCCCTTCATTTGAATGTTCTTTCTTGACCTTGTCACTTTTCATAAAAACTTTTCTTACTTTCATCATTTTAGACTTAAACTGGGTGAGTTCCAAATCCCAGGTCCTCTTGCCCTTCATAGATTTCTTCTGTTCTTTGCCAGACTTCGGATCCTGCATTATAGAGGGAGGAAATTTGAAGCCAAAATGTAGCTCCAAGTTTGAGGAGCTCTCTTTTTCTGACATATCCAACAGAAACTGCAAACTGAGGGTCATCTCCTGGTTCCCTTCTGGGTCCTTTACCTGCAGCAGCCTTTGCACTTCTCTGCGGGACACTTTCCTCAGCCGGCTCTGGTCCTCTGCCACCAGGTAGGACATGGCATGAAAAAATTCCTGGAAGCTGATGTGGCGGAAGCTGTAGAACTTCTTGATGTCAAGTCCCTCTTGGTAATCATTGCTGCTCAGAAAAGCAGCCAGGCTGGGGCCATCTAAATTGTGTTTCCGGAGCTCAGCTTCTTCAAACAGGAACCTCTGGTGCTGGATCCCCTCAGCTGCCAAGGAGCACAGACTCCTCAGGACCCTGTGCCGGGAGGGCTCACAGCAGCCCTCGTTGTCATCAGACGGCAGGTGGACACATAGGCCATGAAGATGTCAGTGCTGTTTCTGGGAGTCTCCGAGACTGCCTGGCCTCTCTCCATCTGCCTCTTCAGCCAGGAGCTGACCACCCAGCAAATGCCTGGAACCTGACACGCTTTGTAGAGAACGGCATTTCCTTCTACAACTTCAAAGGCTTTCCTGGCCTGCTCCTCATCCTTGAAATAGGACCTGAAATAGCTCCTCCTCTCCTCCTCAGAGAAGCCTAGGGTATGGACATGGCACGCTTCCTTCAGCAAGGGTTTAAGATTATGCAAAGCCTGGGGCCGGGTGGTGATGAGCAGGGAGCACGTGGGAAGTATCCTTCTCCCAATTAGACGGCGCAGCAGGTCCTCCTTGGGATTCGGGCTCATCCTCCTCAACTGTTCTTCAAAGGGCCTCTGCAGTTCATCAAAGCCATCCAGGATGAACAGGAGCCGCTCTGGCTGCCTCAGAATCTCTGTGACAGGGGCTTGACTGTCCCCACAACACCAGAAGAGGAGCTGCTCCATTTTGCCCTTGGGCAGCAGGACCACTTCTTTGCAGCTCACATAAAACACATAATCAAACCGATCTCGGTACAGGGTACCCGTGGCCCAGTCCAGCACCATTTTCTTGGCCAGGGTTGTCTTTCCAGTGCCAGCCAAGCCCTGTAGCACCACTGATGATGGGGCTGAGTCTGGCTTTTCCACCAAACCAAATAGATCTTTCACCACGACAGAGTCCAGCTCCTGCTCAGGGACGGTGCAGGCAGATGATGCTGGGCTCTCTGAGCTGGGCTTGGCCACCAGGCGCAGCTGAATGTAGCTGCTGCCCACTCCCCCTTCTCTCCCCTCCTCTAGGGAGCACACGTACGCTCGGTATGTTTCTCTGTAATCTGAGCAAGAAAAATGGGGTGTAAGGTGGTGAAATAGGAAACTTCAAAAGCCAAAATGGATCCTCTAAACTCTGACTTACTCTTTGTTCTCATCTTCTTCTATGCTCCCTGACTTGTATCCCCCTGAAGATTCTAGTTCTAGCTTCATCAAGAGTGGCACCTGTATGTGTATATGAGTGTGTGTGCATCCCTGTGTGGTGTGTATGTGTACATCCGTGTAAGAGTGTGAGGTTGTGTTGTGTTTGTGTGGTTATTTGTGGGATGTATGTGGATGTCTGTATCCACATGTGCTCATAGGAATGTGCTCGTGAAAGCTGTATTTTGTGCAGGAAGGCATGTCTTTGGGCATCAGCAAGTGTGTTGGTAGAATATGTGTTAGTGCAAAAGTCTCTGTGTGTGATAATGCATAAATGTCTGTGTATTCATGGGAAATGTCCTGAGGTGAAGATCTGGGGAAAGAGAGAGGAGGAAAAAAAGGAACGGCAGAGCATGGTGAGGGACTAGGCGGAGCCTGTTCTTGGGAAAGGATGGGCCCGATGCTAAAGATAAACCAGCTTCCAAGCAGCACCTGCAACTTGGAGTCCATGACACCCTCCCATTATTCTGTAGCAGAGGAGCTTCCAGGCATGAAAGGAGCCTACGGGAGGGAGCACAGGCACTGACAGATCCTCCCTCCTCCCCAGCACCCCACAAGAATGAATAGGAGGCTGTATGCCCACCCCATTCTCAGGGTGGTTCCACCAGAGATCACAGGCACAGAAGACTGAAAGAAGCAGCCGGAGCTGCGTGCCAGGAAGCAGCTGGGGCAGGTACCAGCCTCGCACCCTGAGGCCATTTCTTGTGGTTGGTGGAAATTCCATCCCCAGCACCATCCCGGATCTCTAAGCTCTTTACATCACACAGTCCCCTTCTCTGACACTGCAGCTGGCAGGAGGAGACAGGATGTTATGGCCATAAGATACTGTAGTCTTCTGATACATGAACCCCTACCTTCAGCTCAGGACCCACCTCACAATTGTAAGAACTCTCAACTGGAGACCACCCAGGAAATCCTGGGGCACTGAAGACACCCAGGAAGGCAGAGGCCAGGATGGCAGAAGGCACAAACTACTACTGGCCATAGGAGTCTCTAGAAATGCCATGGGAGTAGGGAGCCCCAGACCACCTCACACCCCCTTTTCCCCTCCACACTCACCATTCAGACAAATGATGCTGAGCTGGTCCACAAGTTCCAACAGATTCATGACCTTCAAGACCTTGAGCACGACTCTCACAGCTTCCTGTGCTCCGTAAGTTGAAATCAGCTTATCTGCCAGGTCCACCCGACTCAGACCCTCCAGCTCCCCTCTGGCCAGGTGAGGCTGGCCCTCAGGCAGGGCCATACCATGTAAATGGAACTTTAATATCTTGAAATTGTTCTCCTCAAGTTCCCTCAGAGCCCAGAGCAATGCATCCTGAGGGTCATGGGTCAGGACCATGGTGAAGGGTCAAGTTTAGACCAGTGACCTGGAGAAGAAGGTGAGAGTAGAGGTCTGCTGCTGACAGGAGAGCAGCCTGAAGGCACCTTGCTGGGTGCTTGACAAGCTGCAGAGTGGAGATCAGGGACAGATGAGAGGTGTGCAAAGACCCAAGGAATGTAAGCAGATAGGAGAGCGGAGGAATTCCCCTCTCCTCTTCCCTAGTCAATCCTCTCTGTCTCTTTGTCAGGTGTCCTGTGGCATCTGTCAGCTGGCATTTGTGCCGATGAATAGTAAGGTATGCTGGGTGTGTTGGCCTCTCCCTCTCTCCCTCCTCCCCTTCCATCTGTATCTCTCTCTCTCTCTCCTCCCTCCCTTCTTCTCTCCCTTTCACACATTCTTTTTCAGGCCCACTATGCTCCTTAGATAGATGGGTTAGGAAAGAAATTTATTTCTAAGTTTCAGTTTTAAGTTGTCAAACTGAGCCTGCCCCTGGCCGTGTGAACCTCTGCAGAGCTGGTGCACATGGGCTGGGACCGCTGAGGTGAGGCAAGAAGGTCAAACTCTACACGCACACGGGCCCCACACGTCAGCCCAGCTGCATGCAGTCAGGTTTCAAAGTGGGAAGTCTTCTCATTCAGACAAAGAGACACGTCCAAACACTGATCAGAAGAGGAACGGCCCCTGTTGAGTGCCTACATTCTGCCAGGTGGTTTACATATATTGTCCTTTTTGGTCATTGCAGAAACCATTTCAGGTACTACTGCAGATGACAAATTCAGCTGTCAGAGAAAATGGTTTTCCAGAGTGTTCCAGAACTAGGCCACTGGGCAAAGAGGTGGGATTTAAACTGTGGTCTATGACCTGGGTGGATGGAGAAAGACAGAAAGAATCAAAAAATAAAGGCACAGACAACAGACTCAGAATCCAGGAAGTCGGGCTAAACGAGACCAGAAACTGGAGATATTCATACATACTAAAGTAGCAGGGAAAGGACAGCAGGATTTTGAGCAATGTCTAAAATATGGGACTAACATGTAGGCAGGGTCGCAGCCACTGAAAAGAGAAAAACAACAATTAATAGAAAGCCCTGAGAATTATGCCTGTGATCTAAGGCCAATGGGGAATCCATCTCAGCAGTACAATCTCACATCTGTCACAGGGGTGCTCAAAAGAGTATTTGGGAGTGGAGAAAGTTACTGCAATTCAAATATAAGCATTTGGGCCACATGTTGACAGTAGAGAGAAAAGTTCAGAAGGTGTCAAGACACATGGGACCTTGGCTGCCAGTCACAGGCCAGTTTGGAAAAGCAGGCCTGGTAAAGAAGGGTGATTGACAGCAAAGCCTCCCCTGCATAAGAAGACTCAGGGCTCCCCTGTAACTCTCTGATGTTGGCAAAGTTCATTCAGGAAAGAGGAGATGATAACACTAGAAGCTGCCAAGGAGACGTCCAATGTAGGCGATTCACCCCAGCTCAGTCGGGGGAGCTGGAGGTGAGGCCAGGATGACTCGGCTCCCGATGCAGGAGCCCAGGGAGCAAGGCCCTGGGGGCCGAGATGAAACAGATCCCACTTCTGGTCAGACAGCTCTGCGGGCCATGCCTGGGTCCTCTTAGCCCAAACCCACTAGTTTACTTATGTTTGCTGGTGTGGGATTAAAAATATAGGTGTGACCCCCAGACACCTACTGTACAACACATGTACACGTGGGGCTGGAACAGAAGTAGGACCCACCGAGCCTCTGTGAAGCAGAAATGCCCACACACTCCATCCTACTGTCTGTGGGCTGAGTAGCCTCTCACCAGGGATGCTGACCTCATTTCTCCATATACTAAAGTTAAGAAACAAGGGAGGGGCTGAAAGTATGAACCATTCTGTCGCCAAGACTGAAAGAGCCCAGCAGCCTTTCCATCTTGCTCCTGAGGGCCCCATCCCACTTCTGCAACACGGCCCAGTTGAGCTGGGGCAGTTTCACTAGAGAAAAGGAAGACTCAGAGTGCGTCTCCACCACATCCTCACACATGGCACCATTTCTTTAAATTACTGAAGCAACTAGAGAATGTACTCCACCGAAATAAAAAACGAAGAAGACAGGAGCTCTAGGAAATAGGAATCCAAAGAGAAAAACAAATTCCTGGCAGCATCTGGATAGCCCGCCTGGAGAGAGAGAGGCCCTGAAAGCCCTGAGCACAGTGGGTTTCCCTAAATGAATGTCTCCAAAAAAAGAGGATAGATCAGTTACCTGATGTTATTGGCCTTCTCAGAGATCTACTGAGAGGCTCTTAAAAAGCAGGAAAAACTAGCAGCAAGTTCCAAGAAAGCTAGATAAATTAAAGTAAATTAAGGAAGTTAATAGCTATAGGAAAAACAAAAAATAAGACAGGAAATGTAACAATAAACTACATCACTCAGGTGTGAATAATATTTGCAGAGAAATAATAATGTGGCCAGGCACAGAGTCTCATACCTATAATTCCAGCACTTTGGGAGGCCAAGGAAGGATGAGCACTTAAGGCCAGGAGTTCAAGACCAGCCTGGGCAACATAGTGAGACACCTCCCCCCCCAGAAAAACTAATTTTAAAAATTAGCCAGGCTAAGTGGTGTGTGCCTGTAGTCCCAGCTACATGAGAGCTGAGGAAGGAGGATGGCTTGATTCAGAGAGTTTGAGGTTGTCACAAGCTATGACAGTGCCATATAGTCCTCCCTGAGTGATAGAGCAAGGCTCTGTCTCTATAAAAATAGAATAAAAATAATAATAATGTTACTGCTGAATACTGTTCAATGAAAATACGTAATATAACCATACTGAAAGGATAGTGGTAGAATGTACTAGAATAGGAAGTCAATTTATAATACCTAAAATTGATGAATCAAAAGGTAGTGATAGAGCCGCAGTTCTCCCGTGAGAGGGCCTTCGCAGTGAAACAAACACACTCGCTCAGCAGCGGAAGACTCCGAGTTCTCGGTACTCTTCAGGGATGAGTCATGTGGCGGTGGAAAATGCGCTCGGGCTGGACCAGCAGTTTGCTGGCCTAGACCTGAACTCTTCAGATAATCAGAGTGGAGGAACTACAGCTAGCAAAGGGCGCTATATCCCTCCTCATTTAAGGAATAGAGAAGCTGCTAAAGGATTCTACGATAAAGACAGTTCAGGGTGGAGTTCTAACAAAGATAAGGATGCATACAGCAGTTTTGGGTCTCACAGTGATTCAAGAGGGAAGTCTAGTTTCTTCAGTGATCGTGGAAGTGGACCAAAGGGAAGGTTTGATGATCATGGACGGAGTGACTATGATGGCATTGGCAGCCGTGGTGACAGAAGTGGCTTTGGCAAATTTGAACTTGGTGGCAACAGTCGCTGGTGTGACAAATCAGATGAAGATGATTGGTCAAAACCACTCCCACCAAGTGAACGCTTGGAGCAGGAACTCTTTTCTGGAGGCAACACTGGGATTAACTTTGAGAAATATGATGACATTCCAGTTGAGGCAACAGGTAACAACTGTCCTCCGATGTACGTATTCTTCAATAATACAAACACTCTTAGGCACACACATCAAATTAATAACAGTGTTCACATTTGAGAATGTCCAGTCTCTCTTGCCTGGCTCTGTTAGCCACTAGATCTGGGCCTTTTTCCGTGAGACGGAACTGGTGACAGAGTCCTCTTTCCCCTGTGCTCTCTGAGACCGGTCTTCCATGGATACTCAGTACCAAGCATACCTATTCATGTAATAAATCACTCGACAGAGAATCTGCACCTAATATTAATGGGAGAGCAGTCTCAAACACAAACAAACTAAGGTCAGGTGAATCCTTGCTGATTACCATTAAGGGTCAAGCAGAAATGACCTTCTTATGCGTTCCTCCACCCAACACATTTCTGTGTGATGTTCATCAGAGTAGAGCCAACTCTTCCTACGCCAAAAAGCATATATTTCATCCAAGAAATCACGAGCAAGCATCTGTATTATCCCTTAGAAAAGTAGTACTCAAACATCATAGTCGTGGCGACACCCTTTGGAGGCATAGTATCCCACCTTGTTTCCAACTATTCTTGCGCGTATCGAGGATTCAACCCCATATCCAACATCCGATCCAGCTTTCTTTAACACACAGTATTTGCAAAAGCTAATCAATCTTTCTCTTATCCATCAATCGCACTACAGACGTCACCTTGGATGGCGTACCAGCAAGTGGCATCCACGTTTCATAAGTCTCGAATCTGCTGACAATATCAGCACCACCATAAACCACACGAGGACGACTCTAGATCGATGAAAATTTTACTGAGCTTCCTCAATAACTCTGTAACTCCGCCAATTCTGAGTTGGTGCATACCAAGGAGAATGAGGTATTGTTTCGGCGCACATACCTTCCATTTTCCTTCACTGGCCTCAGCCCTCGCCTGGGACCATCTGAATAAATTGACTCAAGATGCGGCAAGAAGAAAATGCTCGCAAGTTTTCCAGACCTCTTTGGGCACAAGCCATGCAAGTTCTTTTCTCTTGATAATAGAATTAGCACTTTTGCACTGGAGTCTTGGGCGAGTATAAGAGTAAGACCTCAAGTTTCCCATGATAATTTCTTCCATTTCTCACATCGAGCTGAAACTTTCAATTATGC